AATCCAACATTTTTCTAAAACATAAATGAATACTGAGCAAAAACTGCGCCTCAAAAGTTTCTTTTTTTTCCCACTACATTTGTATTCACCACATCCAGGTCCATGGTGATTAATTCACTCATGGCTTGTATCTATAAGATGTAAATAAGAAGAGATGAATGGAAAAGAAATACAAAAAACAACTAAAAGTTCCACTAACCCACATTACAAAAAAATCAGGTACTACTTCCTCTACTGAATTACAATCTGCCATCCAACAGTGGTGCCGCACAGCCAAGTTTATTTGCCTCAAACCGTTTATGGGGAATGTGTCTCAGAACTGGCAGTTGTGGTCACTCCAATGCCACCAGAGCGAATTGAAACCCAGCGAGAGACAGCTTCAAGTCATCAAAGCCAAGAATACACCCACGAAAGCACGGCTGATCAACACCTTTTGAAGATGTTCTTAAATGAAGATAATCATCTCACAGCTTGCTGAACATTAAAATCTTTTTACAAGTAGAAAAACAGAAAGCTGGCTCATTCGTCCACTTAGTTCCCGACAGAGCTGAAGGGCTGCTAATGTGCTACAAATCAACCCTCCTGTTCGGCTCTTGTTTTTCTCTGGAATTGTAGAAAAAGAATCACCATGGTGATGGTGAATCTCATCCCTGTGCCTTAAACCTCTGTCTGCCCCAACAATGACGAATCGGTGTCTGGTGACACTGGCTGGGTTTGAGGATATGTCATTTCAGCAGTGACACAAAAGCTGTGAGTGTGGGCAAATTCCAAATGATAGGAGTTCAGGGTCAATCTGCTGCACAAGCATGATACATTTGAGGATTTATCATCCGACTGCCGGTCAAGACCTAAGCCCTCTGTTTCCAACGTGTAACTAACTTAAAAAATAAGCTGGTGAATGTATTTAAGTGAATTAATTCAATTAAGTCTAATCTAAGAGATAAAAATAATCGAAAGAGGTGTCCTTGTTCTCAACGATTGAGAAAAAGAAGCCTAACACAACTGTGTAGGGGCTGTTGATCCAATTAAGCCACAGTAGGGTGAGAAGCACCAATGGCCCTCCCTCTGCCAACCCCTCCTTAAGGCGTCCTGCTGCCTCTGCTGACCATCAGGTATGTGTCTTCTTCATTACTCGCCTGTCTTTCAGATGACACCGTCTTCTTTTTGCTGACGGTACGAAAGGCATGAATAATGTCCACGAGCTGTGTGGACCGTTTCTCCATCTCCCAAAATCTATTAAAACAGGCCTTTCCCTCAGCTCCCAGCGGAGAACGGGAGGAGGGGAGTGTGTGAATCGAGGGGGGGGGGGGGGGGTCTAGTGAAGGGGGGAGAAAAACTCTTGACAGCGTCACATATGTAAAAACCTCCCAGGAGTGACCGTGTGAGCTGACTTATAGCTTCTGGCGGTGACCTCGCTCCTGGCAAACAAACAACCAACAGAACAGCCACTGGGCAGCTAGGGGCTAGTTTCGCCTTTAGGAGACTTGAGAGCATTAAGAAAAAAAAACGAAAAAACAAACAAGCTAAATCATCCTCAAACACCTCTGATTATAAGATCACATATCCTTAAGAGAGAGACAGCAGAGTGTGACAAATGCTGTCAGTGCATAGACTTGTTATCAAAAAGCCGGCCACGAATCGACACACTAATGATGTATATCAATGTTTCCAGTAGAATCTATACAGCCGGGCGGGAAATCAATTCCCGTTTACACCTTATTGCTTTAACTTCCTTAAAAAATGCCACTCTATCAGTTCTAGACTGCAGGTTTTGCAAGATGTAATGAACACAGCACGACAGCATCATCAATAAATCACACAGATATTGGAGCACGGTCTCAATTTGTGTGTACTGTATGTTTTCCGTCTACGTTTTGAATCAGCAACTTGCCATTTTATTTGTGGTGTTTGAACAGCGTCTACAGAATTCTCTGAAACAGTTGACCAGTGACTAATTTGTGGCCGAATGACTGAAAGCATGTTTAAGTTTGCAAATGCCAAAAAAACTCAATAGCTATTTAGACCAGCATTCTGTACAAAATGATTTCTCTAGAACACACAACATGACAAAAGGGGTTGTCGTTAGTTTTAAATTAATACAATTTATAAGACAAACCTAGTTCTTATTATATTTTGATTGACAGCTACTCAGTGTTTGAGTATATTTTTTAGGTTGTCTTCAGGGTGCAGAACATTTTGTATAATCCACAGTTTGAAAAAACAAAATAAATGTAAAAAAAACGTGTCACAAATGTATCCATGCTTGCCAAGTAGCTCAAGTCACTACATGTATCGTTTGTACAGATTTAAATCCTGGTACCAACATTTTTAGATATATCGTCTGACATGAATATGGTCATATGTCCTTTTGAATCTCTAAAGGAAAACACAGGGTTGTGATTGTGATTTCTTCCTCAGTAACAAAAAATGTTATTTTCAGTGCTGCTGGGAACCTGCAGGATTCATAGAATAGCAGTTCTCTGTCAGGTGAAGCCACAGCAAGCCTCTCAGTTTTTTTTATGTACACCATGTACACGTGAATTTTCTTTTTGTGGTGAAATTTTAGTGTCGGTACTTCTTTCTCGTACAGGGGGTCTTTGTGAAATAACTTTAAAGCATAAGACCAGTACTGAAGTATTCCATCCACGCTAATGGAGATGTTCAGACACTTTTGGAAAGGCCACATTACTTCTGATGAATTTTTGGTTTCATCTTTTCGATAGGCCAGAATAAGGGGAGAATAGACTTTCAACAGTTAATTTGTGAGAGTCACGAGTGGTCACTTCAAATGGTTAGGGGAATAAATGGTTTTTACAATCCAGAGCTTCTGCATTGCCCGTTTCATAAAAAAGAAAAATGAAGCAATTCTCCAATGTCCACTTTTTTATCGCGAGATACATGTTTTCACGTTGTATGTTTAGTGAGAAATCCAATTTTAAGTTTATGATACTGTGCAAGATATCTTCTGCTTTTCACAAAAACACGTCTGGATTCTCGTGAGCTCGTGCTGACCAGTTCCTGCTGTCCCCACCTCACAGCTGACGAGAGATAGAGGACTAAGTCACTAACGCTAATGAGAAGTAAATGTGATCAACTTCACAGCCTGTCTCTCTTTTCATTTGCGAAAAGTGAGACACACACACACACACACACCAGAGACTGTAGACAGCTCATGGCCATTTCTGATGTCAGCGGGGTGAAATCAAAGGTTATCATCGGTCAATAAATGCTCTGAGCCACTTCTATTAGCAGCTATTATTTGAGCAGCTGACCAATAGCAAAAAAAATGAATCCTGCTAATTAAGTTTCTTGATATTTTTGTGAAAATGATATTTCCCTGTATTATTCTTCCACCCTACATAATCACTGATGCCTTACTAAGGTGCTGCCAAAGGTCTGATTGCCCAAACTAGTATTTAACTGCTTTGTGCATTCACAGTTTGTATCCGAACCCATTTGTTTCTACATGGAATAGAGACAAATGCAAGCATAAAGGTTAGAAATAACAAGGAGAGTACTTTTTTTGAACAAGAGATGGGCAGGGAATCACAGAGCAGCCCCAAAGCTTCCCAGAGAGGCTTCAATCACTCCATATTGATTGTTCCCTTTTCGGTGAATCAGCAACAACCAGCGTGGGCTGTGCAGTTTGTTTAATACTCGTTTCACCCTGTGAACGGGCCAGCCAATTTCACCTTCTCCGATACCTTCACTCCAAAATATCCCATTTATATCTCATTTATATTCATACCACTATCAATCTGAAGGTGTTGAAGTATGGACTTGGAGTAGAATAAGAAAAAAAGAAGACTTACAATGTCTTTCTACAAATCGTTTGGTATCCGGGGGGGTTTCTATGAAATATTCCAGGTTACACAACAGAAATCCATAGCGAATCCACTGTGA